GCCATCAGACACTGGCTGGGCCATCAGACACTGGCTGGGCCATCAGATACTGGCTGGGCCATCAGACACTGGCTGGGCCATCAGATAATTGGTGGGGCCATCAGACACTGGTTTGGCCATCAGACACTGGCTGGGGCCGTCAGACACTGGCTGGGCCATCAGACACTCGCTCGGCCATGCTCACTGCTGGTCTATTCACAACAGCCAAGAAGCAACAAACCACCTCTAACTGATGTCAGACAATGCAAATATGATATCCCTGATCATCTTGCCTTTATTTCCAGGGTGGGACTGCAGTTGTGTACTGCCACACCCTGTTTACATGGGTGTGGCCGTGCCAGGCTTCACAGATGCTGGGCAAATATTCTAGCAACCGACTCACAGCAGCTCAAGGAGTGTTTATGCTGTGTTTAACGACAGCACTAAATCCTGGTTCGTTTCTGGCGCAGGTGAAACTCACAGTCCGCCAAAGCTGATTTCTTAGTTTTGGCATCAAACATTCCAGAACCCCGTAAGGCAGCAACGGAAAGGAAGGAAGCTAGGCGGGCACCACTGTTTGGTACCTTTGCAACCTTCCTGGTAAATCAAAAAAAAAAAAAGTCCTAAATATAAAAATGTAGTAGATACCCAAAATCCAAAATTATCCCCCCACCCCCGCTCCCCAAAAAGAGATGACGAGAAAGGAATCTAGCAATGTTTCCAAGGTTGGTCACAGGTGGATCTCTTCTTTGTCCGGAACTTTCTTTAGTCTTTAAGTTTTGAGGTGAAGCCCAGGGCCTAGTGCTTGCCAGTGCTCTATGAGGGGGAGGCCATCCAGCCCTGGTTTTTAGTATTTGGTTAGTGCTCAAGTGGTAATGATAACGCAATTGCCTTGTGTTTACTGGGCCTCTCATGGGCACAGCTACCTGTGAAGGGCTTTTTCTTAGATCATCATTAATTCTCTGGACTTCCCTTGAGGGAGAAGGTGTTTGCAACATTGTCTCCCTGAAGAACTGAGGCCCAGAACATGACAATTAGGCAAGGTCGTTTCCTCACCATCTCCGAGAGCAATCCTGTGCCCAGGCTTTCCCTACTCATGAACTCCAGTGAGATAGACCCTGGTGTTTCACAGATGATAAAGTAGACGCTCAGAGACAGGGCAGCCCCTCGCCAACGGGCATAGCTGGCCAGTGGTGGAGTCAGACACTGCCCCAGATCCTCAGCCTGGAGAAAAATACACCTGGGACGTGTTGAGATCTACCAGGTCCCCTGATAGAGCGCCAAGGGGGCATCAGAAACTAGGGAGACTCTCGGTGGATGAGGATCCTTGCTGTGCAAGCTGAGGACACGGGTTCAGGTCCCAGCACTCAAGTGTTAAATGTGCATGCCCACGTAAGCTGTGAACCAGCACTGTGCAGTCAGCGCTGTGGAAGCAAAAGAGTGACTGGGATCTGCCAAGCTGCTGGCATGGGGGGGGGGCGTCTGGGGGGTCCTGCCTCTGGGGAGCCCCGCCCCTGAGAAGCCCCGCCCTTAGGGAGCTCAGTCCCAGGAGTTCCGCCCCTGGAAAGCTTCACCACCAGGGAGTCCCGCCCCTGGGGAGCCCCGCCCCTAGGTAGCCCCACCCTACCCACGCCCCTTCGTACCATTGAAGAACTTGATGATGTCAGTGAAGTCCATATTATTCTCCAGGATGATGTCTCGGTAGACTTCCACCAACGCCAGCGCAATGAACAGCACGTAGTGGGCGGAGGACACATGCTTAGCGGCCCAGATAGTTTCCCACACGGAGAAGACGTCATCATAGACCAGCTCTGCGGGACACCGACAACACATGCACATACGTAGGAGTTGGTCCAGGACAGAGTGCAGGGCCTGTCCTCCCAAGTCCTCCCTGCAAGCATCCCACTTCCCTAGCTGAGTGTCCCAGACCAGGTGGAACCCCGGTCTGGGGAGGCAGGAGACCCAGACCCTGTCATCCGATCCTGATGGCCTGGGTCTAAGGTTCCTGTGTGAAGACTCTGAGCATGCGTAGGTTTGATTGGCATGGGCTTGTCCCTGCTCTGCTCTGCTCTCTGTTATGGTACTTCCTCTCTGTCTCCAGGGGCACTCACAGATGGCTCTCAGTGGTCTATACATATATAAGCAAGCTGGCTGCTGCTTCAGCCTAGTAAGGAGATGTCAGAGCCCATAGGACTCTGGTTCTCAACCTTCCTAAATGCTGCCTTTTCATATAGTCCCTCATGTTGTGGTGACTTCCAACCATAGAATTATTTTTGTTGCTACTTCATAACTGGAATTTTGCAACTGTTACCAATTGCAATGTAAGTATCTGATATGCAGGCTGTATTTTCATTGTTGCAAATGGAACATCATTAAAGCATAGTGATTAATCACAAAAATATGTAATTATATATTGTGAAATATTTATTTATCATTACAAACGTGAAACTTTGTCTTGAAGCACAGTGTAGCACGGGTAACAGTGTTACTATAACAACAGTAAGCAACATTGCTAGATTTTTACAACAGTATGCATAAAAAGTCAATATCGGTGCCAGCGCTGATACTGCACTTTCAGTTCCCAAGACCATCAGAAATATGTGTTTTCAGATGGTTTATGTAACCCCTGTGAAAGGGTTATTTGACCCTGCAACCCACAGGTTGAGAACCACTCCCTAAGAGCAAGACTACCAAGTCCAGTAAGCTGGCTTTGGATTGCAACCTTTCACACACCAGCCAGGGGCTGTGGGCTGGGCTGTCCCCCTCCAGCCTCTCTGCACCTCAACTTTTCACAGGGCCTGATGGTTGCAGTAAGGGAGCATCAGGTAGTCAGTAGCACTGCACAGTGTAGAACGGGCGGTTAATACCACCAAACACACCAGATGTTCCTGGACTCATGCCAGACTAGCACAATGGTGTGCCTTCAGAGGTGACAACCTGGCTCAGGGTAAAATGTGCTTGAAGTCACCACAACTCAAGAGTTTTGGGTCTGTACTAAGCAGGGAGGCAGATGGGAGGGACTTGTCCTCAGAGATGGATGTAACCAAGCTTGGACCCTGGCTCCCCTCTTCGTGGCTTCCTATTGGACTTCTTAGTTTTCTCACCCATGAAACAGGAACCTGTGTGTGTGTGTGTTCACATGTGTTTGTGTGCATGTGTATGCACATGTGCACATGTGAGTGTGTTCATGTGCACGTGTGTATGCATGCCCAGGGAGGCACTGACTGGTGTTAATGTCATTATCCTTCTCTATTGAGCTCCACCTTAAGAGACAAATTCCTTCTCTAAGCCCAGAGCTCACCAATGTGGCTAGGCTGGCTGGTCAGCGAGCTCCTGTGGCCAGCTTGCATCTGCCTCCCCAGTCCTGCATCACAGACATGCACGGCTGCACTTGGCTTTTAAAATTTCTTCAGTTATCCATTCAGTGTGGGCATCAGAGGACAACTTGTGGGAGTCGGTTCTCTCTTTTAACCAAGTGGGTTCCAAGGATCAAACTCGGGTCCTCCAGCCTGGTGGCCAGCACCCTTACTGTCATGCTGACTGCCACACCTGACCTCTTATGTGGGTGCTGGGGGTTCAAACTCAGGTCCTCCTGTTTGTACAGACTGATCCATCCCCCATCCCCTGAGGTGGGAATTTTATGGTTCCTACTGCACAGTCACTTTTTGATAAGGCTTCTGCTATGACAGACAGATAGATGCCCTTCCCTCAGGTGTCCTGTCAGCCTCCCCATGCCCCCCTTCCTCACCCAAGAAATTCTATGACAAGGAGTCTGGGGACAAGATGGAGTCTGTACCTCGTTTGAAATCCAGCAAGAACCAGCGGTAGCAGAAATAGAAGTGGGTGTAGTCACCGTTCTGATGCATCAGCTCAAAGAGCTCGGAGTCCAGGATCTGTCGGAGGGAGGGCAGGTCTGTCAATCCCAGAGGGGACAGTGGGATCCATGGTGCTGTGCACCCACCCTGCCTGCCAGTTGGCTCTCAGCAGCCGGGTGCAGTTAACAGCGAGCAAAGGGTATAGGTGTCTCTCCAGAGAGCATTTACAGTGGCCAGCCTAGGGCCCGCTCAAGGTCAGGGAGAGCAAGTCAGAGAACGAGAGACAATCTTGCACCCACTGGGATGGCGGAAGCCAAAATGACAGACAGTAGTAAGTGTTGGTGAGGATTCAGAGAAAACAGAACTCTTGTGCATGGCTGCTGGGAACACAGAGCCACACAGCTGTCACCTCCGCCTCCCCAGTACCGAGCTTACAAAAGCACACCACCGTGCTCAGCTTTCACAAGGGCTGTGGATCTGAACTCTGGTCCTTTACCTTGTGCTAGGCCACATTCCTGGCTCTCCCTGGCTCTGTCTTTCATTTTTGTCTCTGTCTATCTGCCTGTCTGTCTGTCTGTCTGTCTGTCTTTCTGTCTGTCTTTCCTCTGCCTGCCCCTCCCTCTCTC